AAGTCAACAAAAATTTGGAAACAAAGTCATTGACGCTATTTCCTCATTCAAATGGAAATAGCGTCAACAATGCTTAAAGTATGTCGATTCATAGAAAAAAATGTTGTTCTTACAATAAACATTGCCCCGTAAGTGTTGTTTTTTAATAGAAGAAAAAGGCTTTTGCCAAATCCTCAGTGTTGTGATATTAATCCACACACAATCATGAACTACCACCAAGTGATTATATTAAAAAAAATTTAAATTACGAATATGTAAAAACACGATGCGAAAAACTAAACGCCTGCGCACAGCTGGAATACGAGAAATATTTGAAGAAAGAGTGTAGAAATGATCCATAACTTGCAAAACATGTTTCGTTTCCACAAAAATAAAGCGAACACTATTAAATTGAAGAAACAGTACATGTCCAAAAACCCCGGAGGAGCACTGAAAGAATTCTGTGTTTTAAATTAGCATATTTTGAACGAATTCGGAATGTCTAAGGTGGAAAAGAACCCAACCTTTCTATAAGGAAACAATTCTAGAAAAAGAATTTTCTTACACTGTATTTATGTCTCCGCCAGCAGTAATTTAAAAGCAGCTAAGGAGAACGACGACACTATTTATTAGATGGCACATTCAACGAGCCAATGTGCCAAAATGCGGGTATAAACAATTATTGATTATTTAATATCGGAACCGAGATCATATAAGTTAATTGATTGGTTTTCACACACTTTTGAAACACAAATTATATGCTTTTTTACTGCAGACAAGTTGTTGCCTCAAAACACAGCAGAAATCTTCCAATCAGGGCTGCCAACTCTCCTTAGTTATGAGGTGCCATATTGAGGATAAAAAAAGTGCCAAAATGTGCCAAATAGAAAAATAAAAGTGCCAAAAAAGGTGTAATTCCTTTTAATCATTCACATTTAGCAATAAAATAAAGCCACATTTTCAAAACAAAAGTGCAATGATAAAATAAGATAAACCAGTTGAATAGCCTTTATAAATTAGAAAATTTTAGTTGAGAAAAAGAAGTGCACGCAAAGGATTTCACAAAAATGTATTGAAATGTTATTTTTTTTACAAAAGTGCCATTTTGGCATTTTGTGCCAAATTGAAAAATTAAGTGCCATTTGAAGTAAAATAGGAACAAATGGCACGGTTTGAGCCAAGTTGGCATCCCTGCTTCCAATAACTTACAAATATAAAAATGTGAAATATCGAGGGCTTGAATTCATTAATACCCTCTATCTGCAATTTGCACAAAAACTAATTTGTGATTTTAGAAACCATCTGGGACTTATTACCTGTCGTTATATAAGGTAGCATTAATATCACTGATGACAGTTAAAGCTTAGGTGGATTTTTATATCAGAATCACATCTTTGTGAAAAGTGTGCAGATAGGAGGTATTATTGAATATAAGCCCTCGATGTTTAAAATATATAAAAATTTTATTCTACGTATACAAAAAATAAATCTACCTGCGTTACAGCACGTCGGGAGACGGGGAAGGGGGGCCGGGGGGCCGCGGCGTAGCGTGACGTGGTGTGCGCGCCGGTCGCGCGGGCCGCCGCGAAGCTAAGCAAATTTAATGTTTTAAAGAGAAATAATGTCAATTGATTTTATTTCGTTTTTAAAAAGGTGGGAAATAAAGTCAATTGACCTTATTTCCGTTGATCTTATTACCTGTCACCAACTCAGTAAACCACTTCTTAACCATTGAAATTGATTGGGCAGAATCCCTTAAGTATTTACCAAGCCTTTTCTTGGTTTCGGTTATGGAACTTTTATGCAACAAATATTGCGCAATCAGCACACCAAATTCACTTTTTCAATTTAAAAAGCCACTGACTTTTCAAATTGCCCTCGTATATTCACATGCAAGTATGCACACATACATATACATATATGTATACACTCACTTATCGCATTTGAAAATGTATAGAAATTTATGAATTTTATTAAGAATTTCAATTTACGCTAACAAAGAAGTTTATACATACATATGTAGGTATTTTCTTTGGAAGTGATACTTGAAATATTTTTGTGCCCAAGAGATTATTATTAAATGAAAGAATAAGTTTACATGATGACATTGAATGTTGAAACTACTTAAAATGTGTATTCATATGTAACGGGTGATTTTTTTGAGGTTAGGATTTTCATGCATTAGTATTTGACAGATCACGTGGGATTTCAGACATGGTGTCAAAGAGAAAGATGCTCAGTATGCTTTGACATTTCATCATGAATAGACTTACTAACGAGCAACGCTTGCAAATCATTGAATTTTATTACCAAAATCAGTGTTCGGTTCGNAATTATCTGAAGAATGTTTCTTACTTTAAAGCAATAGTTATTTAGAAGTATTCATTAAGAGATTCATAAAGATTTTTCCAAGTGGTACTAGAAACAGACGTCAAGCACACATACCTTCATATGGGTGTTTCCATGTAAATTTAAACCACGACTGAAAAATAAAAACAACTGAATTTTTATAATATGTTACTATTTACAGCTTATTGGAATTTTAAAACTCAACAAGGGAAGAGTAAAACTGAATGAAATTAACTTTTTTCTCTTTCATATTAACTAAATTAAGCGAATTTAAACATTACTATTTCATCTTAAAATTAAATTTTCAATGACAACTAAATATAAAAATTAGAAAAGGGTGAAGCTAGAGCTCGAATAACGGTAACTTTTTGATTTGCTTTTGATAGCAATCTAATGTCGCCTACGTTATGCAGAAACATTGTTTGTCTATGTAATTTACATATATACTATCGTAGCCAGTGAACTTAGCCTCGCCCAAAAATAATTTTTTGTAGGAAAATGTTGGTAGATCACGACTTCCGGTGGCACATTTATGACGTATATCTTCCTATGCCACTTTAAATAGCATAACGAAAGCGTTGCGTCCTTGACGAAGTTCTTGCATTTTTCCAATGATCTATCGTTTCTAAGCACAGTTAATCGCACAACGCTGATCAGTTTCGATATTAGAGTTGCCAACGAAATATATTTGAATTAATATTTTTTTTTTTGCTGATGGTGTTGTGCATTTTCTTCCATACATATTAAGTATGCTCGCCATTTTCGTTTGTATGGGAGAAAATGCCTAGCACCATAAGCAAAAAACAATATTAAAAGCACTGGTTTACAGCAAAAATGTTCTCTGGATGGCACTATGTATACAATTCCTATGTAGAGTTGCTCGGTGATTCCGAAAATCGAGTTATTCGGGCAGGTTCTGCAATTCAATTCCGAGTGAATCTCTACCCCTGCCAATTTGATTTCAAAGCGAACTTGACTCAAATTCACTCGGTAGAGAATTGCAGAACCTGCCGGTTTATTTTTTTTGTGGATACGTTTTTAAGATATTTGCCATTTACCGTTATTCAGTTTAAAAAAGTAGTGGTTCCCCTTAATCACGTATGTATATCGTACGAACCAATTTAACAATCATAATATGAAATACGGCAAATGAAAGCTAATAATAAAACATAACATGTTCTGTGCCAAATTTTTGCATTTATGCTTAAGCCTATTCTGTTACAAAAAAATCAAGTAACTAATGACGAAAATCGATGGATAAATAAAGAAGATTTTTTGTATGACATATCAGCATAAAAGCGTGCTACTTAGGTGTACATGGCGTATGAGAAACACTACTATTTCCTCACACTTTCGTATATATGGGAGAATATCCCTAGCACCCCTGCACAAAATTGTGCGACTAATCTCTAAAGAGAGTATTCCGAGATTACTCCCAATCGGGTACAATTGGGCATTAATTAGTCGCAACTAGTCTCATACGGGTACTAATGGAGGTCAATTAGTCTCGACTCATCTCTAACGGGTACTATTAACGATTTAATGATATGTACGCACTTAGTCAATGAAATTTCGTGTGCGGCGTTGGCACACAGAAAGAGTATTGGGCTAACAAAACTGAGCAAACCGATTCGAATCTCAGCTGGCGCAAATTTTTATTTTTATTTTTTAAAAGTGACTAGTCGCTTTTTATACCCTTTCGGGTATAAAGATGAACAATTAGTCTCTTCATAGGACATACTCGAACAAAAGCGATCAGTTCATTCCATATAAAGAGATCAAAAGTGGTATTAGTCGCATGCTCCTTGCGATTGCTCCCGGAGTCATCCCGGATTATGCCCATTTTTGGCAGGGACCATCAGCGAAAAAAATTAATAAAAACCAATGCGATTTCTAGCGTCTTGAAATTTGCACTTTAAAATTTGTTAAATTTTGTTGAATTTTCAAATTTTTTTGTGTACGAATTTTAAAATATGGATTTGTGTGGCGCTGGTTAGCTAAACTGCTCAAATTTTATTAAAAAAATATATAAACATTAAATAAACAAAATAAGAATAGCCGAAACTAGTCCAAATTTCACTTGACTTAATCAGATGACCACAAGTGTATGTACGAGTAGGTACTACTACTACTGCAGTAAAAATATAACTATTGTTTGAAAAACAAAAAAATTTATAAAAATTCAAAACCTTTCGCAAACCCTGAGATTTTTGTGGCAAACCCTGAGCCCCCAGATTCGACCGGAAACTCTTGAATCTTCGGGTGGAAAAGCTAATCGGGCAAATCTCGTTCAAATCGATGTCCGAATCCGCAAATGGAATATTATAATTCAATTTCTGGATAAGTAAGAAAAATCCGTTTTCGGAAGAAAAGAATTACATAGAAACAGATGGTCTTATTAACCAACTATCTAAAAAATTGCCTTCTGTCCATTAATAATAGATTGGCGCTTACACATACATATATGTATGTTTGTGTTTGGCCGTGCTTCTCCTCCGATTTGTGGCGTGCGCCTTGATATTATCACACAAAAGGGAAGGCACCTACAGTTTTACGCCGACTACGAACGGCGATTGTATTTTTATTCGAAGCTGTTTGTCATGGCAGAAATGCAATAAGAAGTTTGCCATGCCAAGGGGCGACCGCTATTAGAAAAAATCGGTTTTATTTTTTTTTTTTGTGGATTGAAGAGTGATAGCGCGCATTGCAAATGACTACGCCACAGCGGCCGTCCACCTTCTGTTTATTACGCATTAAAAACTTAATAACAATAAAAGTTCAATTGTTTACATATGAATCTGTTCGATAGTGCATATTATTGCAAATATTCTAAGGTACAAAAAGTTTTTAAATTGGTCAATGTTTACTACATTTCCATAAAGCTTTGATACATGTCTTTAACTTGATAAATTAACAATTGTAAAGCTGCCCATATTAGCTTATAACTCCAATACATACATACATAAATGCTTTAACAATAATTTTAAAGTCTCATAAAAATTCAATTGGCAATTTTATAAAACTTGGAACTTAACCTAAAAATCTCATGCGATTACACACGTATGTATGTATGTGTGCATCTCGACCCATATTGTTTGCATTTTACACTAAAAAAGTAAAACAAATACCTCCAGATATGAGTCCATATTCTATGTAAAATTACTTATCGTCTTGCAAAGTGGAACCAACTTCATTGCTGGAAGTCGTAATTTTCAATTTCTCCAACTCAGGTACTCGACCTGTTCTCGAAATATCAATGAATTCCGCATCGGGATCAATTGACAGACCGGTATCTGGAGCAGCTAGGTCATTTACGGCAATATCATTGGACAAATTCACCGGTACAGCATCAAGCGAGTCAATTTCATTACCCAAGTCATTCTTCTCATCCTCCTTCTTTGCCAGATCTTTTTCCAAATCAGCCCATTCTGATTCGAACACGGGATTCATTTCTACATTGTTTTCTTGCTCCTCGTCGTCGGATGATGCATCCTCGCGATTCTTGTTGCTGTCATCATTTTGGTGGCGTTTCTCATTGGGCTCGACTTCACCAGGCACATCAACCACCTCACCAACAGATGCTTCGGGCTCGGTAACTTCAGCAATTTCGGCTATTTGAGCTGGTGCTTCTTCGATATTTTCTGCTACCTCTACAAGTTCTTCTTCCGCGCTCTGTTCTCGTTTTCCATTGCCTGCTTCTGCCTCTTCAATACTATTGTCTTGAACAAATGCAGCACTTAAGTTGGCGGCATCGTCTTCGTTTATTTCTGGCAGCATTGCGTTGCGTGTTAGTCTTCTTCTTCACGCCCTTTTACTTATTTTATATTTAGTCAACGGTGGCTAAAATTTCGGAAAACGTTAAAATGCGAGAATTCTAAAATAATAGAGAATTCTAATAATAATAATACGTACAAATATTCAAATTTGAAGCCGAGGCTAGTGATTGCTCGTTGTTAATAGATAACTGCTAGAATGATCTCTTAATCACACCTAGATCTGCTTATATACAAACGGATAAGTAAACAAAAGCAAAACCTCGTGCTCATACTCCCTCTCTCTCAACGCGTCAACTAAGCCAACAATCGCCATGCGGTGAAAAGCAAAATCAGTTAGAAAAAATACCAGTTCATTAACTGGTATGAGCTATTGCGCGGTCGACAAGTTCGGCAATTCGGTATAACTTGTGCAATCAGCAACATCTACCTTTGAATCATCAAAGTCAAAACTAAATCGCAATTAGTTGCTTTTCTCATAAATGGAAATCGAGTAAAGACTATCGCTACTGGTTCTGATAACGAAGGTTCGAATTCCATTGAAGATAAATAAGATTTTTCAAATTATGTACTTAAGTAAAGGTAAATATGAAATAATTCTTTTTAAATAGAAGTTAAAAGTTTGTGCGTTTAGTTTCATTTGGAAATAAATCTAAATACTTAAACTGCCGGTTTCCCGAAAGCATATTTAAGTGAAAAATCAAACTCTTCTGGCAGTTCATATATTAAACTCAAATAAAAAAAAATATATAATTTTTCACCATGATTGTTTTCTTGAAACTGGCTATAATTATCATAGAAACTAAATTAGATTAAATTATTAAATTATTTAAACAAAAATTCTTAAAAAAATTATTAAAATTACAGTAAAAACTCAAGCATCTGATCAAAAAGAACTGGCTATAATTATCATAGAAATTAAATGAGATTCCAAAAAAAAATTTTATAAAAAAAAAATCTTAGAAACAAAACAATTAAAATTTCAAATAAAAACTCAAGTATCTAATTTAAGAAAATAAAAAACTCAATACTGTTTTTAGTTCCTCGTCAGATTGGCAAATTGGCTGTAATTAATACCTTCTTGTGTGCATCGGTACGTTTCTAATAAACAATTGATTACGCGGTGTTACACTGACCACGAACTTTTTAAGTGACCTAGTACAGGTTGTCATTCAAAAAACTGAGTTTAAAATTTTTCTTACACCCTCAAACTCTGGACTTTTTCTTAAAAAACGATTTTACAGAACTTCTCGCACCAAAAATTTTTAGCTCGGTTATTTTTTATACAATTTTCAGTTTTTAGACGGCCTCGGAAAGAAGAATACTTATACTATTTTATGAAGTAATAAGTGTCGTGAGGACAGTGCAAATATGTGGGAAATTTTTCGAATAAATCTGAAATTTACTAAAATTTTTATTATTTTTACTACTTCTACAACATTTTTTGCCAGAATTTCGAAGAAAATAGTCTATTTTAGTCATTACTTCCAAAAGAATGTTTCATTCCGAGGTAAAACTACTAGGTGCCATTTATAAGAATCAGTAGACACATTCGGAAGTAATGAATTTTCTAAAAAAAACAAAATCACTTCGATGCAATTTCATAGAAAATATGAATTAGTTGGATTGGATTCATTTTGAGGTTTCAGTAGTTCGTCTAGGAAAATTTCAATTTGCCTCTTTAGAAAAAAATGTCATAACTTAATAATTTGTTGATTGATTTTGATGAGTACCCAGTTTTACCCGGAATTAAATACTATTTTCGAAGTAATTATTAAAAGAGGCTGTTTTCTTCCAAAGTTTTGGCAAAAAATGTTGTAGACTTGGAAAATTTAATAAAAATGGGTGTAAATTTCAGATTTATTCCAAGAATAGACCACATATTTAAAATATTCTCAGAAATCTTATTATTTCTTTAAATATAAAAAAAATATTCGTCTTTATTAGGACATATAAAAACTTAAAATTGGTTAAAAAATAACCGAACTAAAAACTTTTTAGTGCCGGAAGTCATGCGAAAATGGTTTTATAGGAATAAATTCAAAATTCTGAATATGCTGTTTTTGTCTACTCGACTAGGCTCACGACTTGTCCAAACCTTAGAAGAGTTAAAGAAAAGTTTTCTAATTTCCTCTTGATTGCGTTGATTTTAAATATTTTTTTGTTAGGGTGTTACGCATTTTCTTCTATATAAAAAAATCCCACATACGTTGTATGGAAGAAAATGCGTTAAAAATTGCCAAAAATCCACTTAAAAGTTTAAAAACTATTATTAAAAAATTTGCAATTTAGATGAAACTTTGCATTATTTTCATAATTTTTATTATGATTATATGGTTAAATACAAAAGTAAAAATTAAATAAACAAAAGAAAAATGGCCAAAACTTGCTATAATGTCTCGCGCCTCTTTATTTTTCCTCGACTATACGTGTAGATATTTGATTTTGATCTCAGTTACAAAGCCTTTTATTTATATGTTATAGATTTTTAATATTTTTTGCAATATGTGTATCCTTTAGCATAAAAAAGTTGATCAATTTGAACCGAACCGAACCGCGATTCAGGGATACTCACGAACCGGTTCCTCTAGCGGTACAAGTTTTTTCTAAGTGGTTCGAACCACTGACCCGAACCGCATCGATTTTTGGAGTGGTTTGCAGCCCTGGTTTTAGGTACGCATCAGCTACAGTATACTGTAAAAGCCGCGAGTGTCAGAATTAAAAAAGAAAGCAGTCACGCCACTTACACTCTTCATAACTTCTTTTCTGTTGCAAGCACATACTTCTAACGGGTGATTTTTTTGAGGTTAGGATTTTCATGCATTAGTATTTGACAGATCACGTGGGATTTCAGACATGGTGTCAAAGAGAAAGATGCTCAGTATGCTTTGACATTTCATCATGAATAGACTTACTAACGAGCAACGCTTGCAAATCATTGAATTTTATTACCAAAATCAGTGTTCGGTTCGCTTTACGTCCGATTTATGGTCTACATAATCGACCAAGTGAGCAAACAATTAATGCGATTGTGACCAAGTTTCGCACTCAGTTTACTTTATTGGACATTAAACCAACCACACGAATGCGTACAGTGCGTACAGAAGAGAATATTGCGTCTGTTTCTGAGAGTGTTGCTGAAGACCGTGAAATGTCGATTCGTCGCCGTTCGCAGCAATTGGGTTTGCGAAACACATTTCGAACCGAACACTGATTTTGGTAATAAAATTCAATGATTTGCAAGCGTTGCTCGTTAGTAAGTCTATTCATGATGAAATGTCAAAGCATACTGAGCATCTTTCTCTTTGACACCATGTCTGAAATCCCACGTGATCTGTCAAATACTAATGCATGAAAATCCTAACCTCAAAAAAATCACCCGTTACATTTGATTCTCCTCTCCAAATATTACCAGTTACATTATAAACTCAAGCATGAGCAGTCAACGCACCAAATTTTGCAACGTAAAAAATAAAAAAAAATAGGAGAGTCACACTTTTATTTGTTAATAGACCAGCGAAAGTGATGTGTCCGAATAAAAATTGTCGAGTCATGCGAAAGTTCGAACAAATTGAGAATTGCCCATATCCAGTTTTAGCATCAAAATATCCAAATTCAGAGGAAGTATCAATTATAACATTTGGTTCCATCCGTGACCCATCATGCGAAGAAATGTTCAATGAATTGAGTAGAGAGAGTTATTTCGAAAGAATAAAGTTTACAAGTCAAAACTTTTCACCCAACAAGAATTAAATGATTTGATAAGGAACCTGGCATTATTTGAGAATCTGAAGACGTATTGGCTTATAAATTAAAAGAAAACAAATTTTGGCGTTGGGAACAAAAGTGGCGTTCTATTGGCAAAAAAGCAAGACAAAATACCATTTTTCAAATGGGGAAAATGATACCTATTGCTTTTTATTCAAATGCACATTTACACAATGGTAACAGGTTTAGTTCCCAATGCCTATTCTGCAAAATAAAATAAAAATATTAAATTCAAATTAGTACAGCAAAGAGAATATACCAAATACCTATGGATTAATTGTCTATGAGACAGGTAGTGCAAAGAATCCACACTGGGGAAAAAGAGGTCGGCTGTGGGTTAGGAAAGCGGAATAGCGTAGGTCCACTCTATTGTCCCCTTGAACATAAAGCTTGGCCTTGTAAAAGAGTTTACCAACAACTAAATTAGCCAATGTTTTTTTTACATACTGAGACAATTTCCTGGTCCTGGTACAGACAAGATAAAAGCGGGAATTTTCGTTGGCCCACAAATATAAATATTAAAAAAGGATGCTGATTTCTTAAGTTCAAAAAACGATTTGCAATGTCCTCCGTGGACTTTTTTAAGTTACTAAAGATTGTCTGGAAAAATGTTAGTCAAGCAACTACTCCGAAATAGTAAACGACAAGCTGGAGAGCTTTAAAAACATAAGATGTAGTGTGGCCATAAAAGGGCACTACCCACACGGTCATATACACCAATTATGGGCAGTTTTATCTAAAAAATGTGGAAGAGAGGCACCAAGGTCTGACACGAAAGTCGCGAAAGAGAAAATTTGTGTACCAGATGGCAACAAATACAGTTTATGATTCAAAAATAATTGTAGCTCCTTGCCACTAAAACCACTGTAATTGGTGACCCTTTTAGCCCATGAGGGTCTACATAACATCGTTCTAATTGGTAGTATATATTCTGGTACACATCTGAAACCTTTCCCTGCAAGGCATCTACACCAGTGGTTGACAAAAGAGAAAGTGACAGTGTGTTGGTGGGCGCAGAGTAATTGCGCTACAGTGGTGCAAAAAGCGAAATGTAAAGGCTAGATGTGGCAGGCTTAGGACAGAAGAATACCTATAAAAAGTATGTGGCTTCAATAGCCACAACTGCTGTGCGCCGAGCTGTGTTTCAATAACATCGACCAGCTTGCTATTAGCTCTTCTGGTTTGTTTCAAATTTGCCCCTTAAAATTTTTTGGGTCATTCTAACCCAATTTTAGAAATTTATACATTTCAAGAAAGAAAGCCATTATTCAAATTTTAATTTAGTAACTTTCATGCTACTTAATAAATTTGACACGCATTGATATTATTTTTATATAAACACTTTTGGAATAAAGTAACAAGTTTTTATTGCGGTTTTTTAATAGGTATTTTGTTGGATTAAGTGTAAATGGATAAAACAAACGTCGATTTCTTTTACATA